CACGTTCAAGTTCAAAACGACGTTCCATAACTTTCTCACATTCAATTTGCAATGATGACCGCAGTTCAAATGTACTTAGCGACGTGACGGACATTAACAACCATGATGTTGAAAAGGAGTTTGATGAAAATATGCCATTTCCAATTAGAAATCATTTTGATTTGATTTATGGATGGCGAGCACCGACACTCCGATCCGATGAACTAATCAAAACTAAAATGGCGCGTGTCACGTGACTTTGTTTACTAAAGATAGCGTGGGCGTTTGATTGACACTCAACTCATTAGTATTCCACCAATCACAGCTACATCTACTTTCTGGATGTGCGCAGTCAAATTGTATAGGAGACAAGCTGGAGTCTCGTGTGGCGATAGCGATAACACCGGGACGAATGGTCTGGGGTAGCAATCACTAAATGGGTATGGTCATTTTTTCCCCACATCACTTGCACAAAACAAACAATACACCGTACAATCTTTTGAGTATAAGCGTAACTCCAATTTAGATGTCAGGGAAGAGTGATAAGCGTCACGTCACAAAAAAACTGTTCACATGAAAAAAAAAATACTCGGTATATTTAATGTAATATGCATTTTTTTTTATTTTCTTCGTAACGGAAAGTATATTCTGACAGGAGTTTCAAATAAAAACAAACATTAATGCATTGCTTAGTAGAAAATGATCATGGTACGGCACTAAAAAAAGGTACGGTACCATGGGTACGGTAACGCAATCCGGCCATGCTTCTGCTCACAAGTCAATAACTTATTTGTTTTCGAACTGTTGAAAATGTTGATTATTACTCAGTAGTGATTATAACAATGCACGAAAAATAAATTCGTTGAATTGTTATCAAATGCAAGTAAAATTCAACTTAGTTTCACCGTAAGCGAATTATTTCGGTCACATGTAAACGATCGATGCGACATCCGCCATGTAGTTTGAATGCACACGAGACATTACTTGACCGAGTAGGTCAAGTCGCTAATTAACCAATTATCTTGTTCAAATTATCTTAGTTCATTTAATTATGTTAATAACAGGTCACCGACTTCATGGTGAACGAAACCCGGAAGCGATTTACCGATAATGTAGTGCGATCTTTTGGCTTTGATTTCCATGGAAAAACAACATGACTTGTTTTTAAATCAAGAAACTAGTTGTTTTCGAAAGATAAACTGAGCATTGAAAAAGAATTTAACAGTTTTTCGGTGAAAACAGCTCATTGTCGAAAACTTGCGACACACTGACGTATTCATAATGAGTATTGACAAAAGTTGTCACAAGACAAAAGCAGTTTCACTGCATGTTTGACATCCTAACACTACTGAACAATAAATAGGTGTGAATATTTTTAGGCACGTTGTCGAAACAAATGAATAGGATTAGGAACAATGTACCAGCTCGTTGAAACAAAGTCGGTCACGGTCTTGTTGAATTGGGGTGCGGTTAGTAATAGGTACTTTTCATGTTTTCAATTTTTGTTGAGAACTCTTTAACACTGAAGCCGAAAACAGGGATGCAGTTACTATTAGGTATGCGGTTTATAATAGGATTTTAACGGTAATGATTGGCTGCTGCAATTCATTGTTGTATTTTACATTTTAATTAAAATTTAGCAGTCAAATGCCCGCAGATGCACCCAGTGGTGATTTCTCTTGCTGTCATGTTAGTTTTCGCAAACACGCTAAAAAGACTTAAAACAATTATTTCTTTTTGTAAAACAAAGAAGAAGTCCCGACTTTTTCAGTCTTTTTCTACAGTACAACTGACTCAATTGTTTCAATACAAGTGTATAATTTATTGTGATGTGTCGTCCCTCATTTACGAGTTTGTAATTTGGTCAGATTTGACCAGAAATGATTGTATGAGTGGGTAATATGCATCGTCAATTAATAAACAAGTAGAAAATTTCATTGGAATGATGAGAGCAATGGCAGCTAGCTTGTGCATATTTGGAAACACTTCTTTATAACTTTTTATAATCATTTCTTATTAAAAACACTGACCGCTCGCCCAAACACTGGTCACCGGCACAGGAGTAGTCAAATGTTTGGGGATATACAACGAATGTTAACTACCGGGTATTATAAATTCTGAACGGCTCTTCAAATCTATACCACTCTGTATCGTTCGCGAACAACTTCATCTGTATCCAATACTATAGCCGATACAATATTGTAAACAAATGCCATGATATCT